TTTGAAAAAGTTCGCCGATTCTTTTTCAAATTGACATCGCCACCTTGTGTGCGTACAAACCGTTTTAACATATCTTTTGTATTATAACTTAAGTGCACATTTCTACCAATTTTTAACGAACCTAAGATCATTATATTCTATTTAGGTTTCCATCACTGTAAACGTGTACATTATATAGGTTTTGACTTGAAAAGTCATTAAAGGATTTATTATATGGCTTTCGGGGAAATTTTTCTTGCGGGACACGGCGGGTAATCCCGAGCGGGCAAGATAGCTCCATCTGGCCCGCTTGGGTAGCCAATCACAGCGCAGGATTTGATTCCTCTTGCCTGCTCACGGAGCTAGCCATATCATGAATAATGTAGTGTAAATGTCAAAATCAAACTTTTTCCGTCAGTGCTTTTACCATTTTGTACAGTTCCCATCGGTTGGTATTGAGCCTGTGTAGGGTAAGACTAAAGTTTTCTACATTTATGTAACGTATGTATCAATACATATTTAGGATGACCCAATAAAAAGTTTTAACACAGTAGATTGGTTTCAAACTCGTCGTCTCGTCTCGAGGGTGGCAACTGTTACATATTGAGAACATTCATTAACAACAACAACAACAACTTTATTATGACTCGCATATTTACAATTTTACAGAAATATATACACATTAAGTTAAAAAAAGCTTGGCAATAGTAACAGCGCGAACCCGCAGATAGCCTGGGCTAATCTAGGCGGGCAACATCTATGTTTATATGGGCACAACAAGACGTCAGTGTCATAAGACGAGCTGCTCACTACGGCTGGCATGAAATTCTTACATTGTAGGCGCTTAAATCAGGCGCTAATACTACTTTTTAAATGCTTAAGTGGTCTGGGACRTACTTATCTTGCAAACCTTTATAAATATAGGCATACACCCTACGGTCTAAGAGGAGAGAGGTCGACTTTGGAATTACCTAATTTGAATCCTAGATTTAAAAGGAACTCTTTCTCTTATTTATTAACTAAGTTATGGAACAGTTTGCCCTCTTAGGTAAGTCTTTTAAGTAATGTAAATGACTTCATAAGTAAATTGCAAGATTGCAGCTTTTTAGAATGTGTCTTACAGCTTCTCTGTTACGTTTTTAGCTATCTTATAGTTATTAATTTACCTTTTTTTTTTTTCTTTTTTGTGGGGCTTATATCTATTAAGTTGTTTTAAAATAGAATAACATTGTTACCTAGAATAGAATAATATTATTAGCTGTAATTACTATAACTTTCATTTATACTGGGTCGTATTTTGAACGAGTTCTTAGCTCCTCGACGAAACGTGTTAAAATAAATGATTAATTGATTGATTGATTGATTGATTGATTGATGAACACCTATTACAGCCAACCTTCCCGTCGTGCACTGCGCGTATGTCGCATTGATTTTATTGGCTACTATACTTTCTATGGCAAGGTATACAATACTTATACAACGCTTGTTAGCGCCTAGAGAAACCATGATTGCCTAGTCTGCGTGCAGACGGTTACAATTTCCGGCTTTATTTCACAAGGAAATACGGTCGAACCTCCACTAGTGGTGTGGAGGCGCGGTGGCCTCATGGTAAGTGCGCTCGTTTCCGGATCGAGCGGTCCGGGTTCGAGCTCTGGCCGGGGACATTGTGTTGTGTACTTGGGCAAGACACTTTACTCTCACAGTGCCTGTCTCCACTCAGGTGTTGAAACGGGTACCGGCGAACTTAATGCTGGGGGTAACCCTGCGATGGACTAGCATCCCATCCAGGGGGGAGTAGAAATACTCCTAGTCGCTTCATGCTACAGAAACCGGGATAAGCTCCAGCCTGGAGGGCCACTTGGCTCGTACGCAGACTTAACCTTTACTCTCCACTAATGGTAACCTCTGACACCTCTCTGCAACGGCCACCCTTTTTTCGTCCCGGCGGACAGTTCATACATTCACTTTTATTTTAACCTTTCTACAACGGCCACCTTTCCTCAACAACAATGCGTCCCAACTGCCAAAATGACCCCTTGACAACGGCCAGTTATTGAATGATTGGCGAACGGGTTAGACAAAACTCCTTTGTGGCAGAGGAATTCATGTGAAAGGAGCTGATCGAGGGTTGCTGGGTGATGATCCATACAGCTCCCAACTTGGGGACACTTGATACTACCGACATGGCAGAGGTCCCAAGTTCCGGCGTTATGCGAGAACTCGCGCGTGACTCATACCCTCCGTGACCGCGGGATACACAACTCCCGTTCCAAAGACAATTAATCGTTAGATTACGATTTAGTAGCCGACGTTTAAATGCATGGCGAGTAGCTGAAGCTGCACCAATTTAGTCGGAAGACATGACTGAATACACAGCAACAGTTTTTTCAAGTGTTTTTATAGTGCAGAAACGCGTAGTACTCTTGTTAATATGAAGAGCTCTTATTAAATGGTGAATAAAACAAAAAACTCTCAAGTGTTTACGGTTCGATGTAAAGTTTCGTGGAAACCTCAAATTGTTGACATTTCCGAGAATCACCGGAATAAACGCGAAGTACTCTTGTTAATATGGAGAGCTCTTATTCAACAGTGAATAAAACAAAAAATGTCGAGTGTTTAAGGTTCGATGTAATGTCTCGTGGAAACCTCAAATTGTTGACATTTCCGAGAATCACCGGATATATTCTATGGACGTTTCCTTTGGAAGGGGATCTTCTTCCTGTGGGAGGGGAAGTTCCCCGAAATGTTATATTAAGGTGCACTTTATAAATTCAAATTGTTAGTTCTATTGTACGAAAACATCTCCAGATAATCAGTGCCAGGTTGTGGAAGAATTAAGCTTAGATTACTGGTAACAATCATCGACTCGAGAATATAAAGTATTTTCCCGCTATGAATAACCAGATGAAATGTGGTCAGTTCTTATCTTGTCGGGTCAGCTAGAGTTACATGTCAACTGAAACCTTAGGCTAATCACGGGCTTCGTCTTAACGGGCTCGTGATCAACACATGCGTGTTTTCCAAACGTGATAGGATGGTAATAATTCACCTGCACCTAAAACGCGTTTTTGTTGGATGATATCACTAAAAACCGTCACCAATCAAATAATGGCTATTTTTCCGCTAAACGTCACGTGACATAACTCGTAACCTTCAGAAGCCCCAATTCTAGTTCTACTGTGTGCTGAATTTGACCCAGCTGCAGTCCTTAAAGTACTTGAGTATTAGGTGAGGACGATGAGATGACTTTTATCAGTGTAGTTACAGTTCTTACATGCGTAGGAATTTAAAAGGAGTCCGCGACTACATTAAGGGTACAACACCTCTTTATTTTCCTGACGAGTTCAGTCAAGAGTCACTTTCGAATGACCAGGCAAGCTGTTCACTCGCGAGGTCATGCTCACATTACACGTAGCTTACATGTATTTTCGCTTAACTTACTAAAGCTTATCGTGGCCAATCCACTGCAATAATGATGACGAAAGAGTTTTAAGTCGTCTGCCAGATAGAAAACTTGACGAGCACTGATATTAGCTGATATTGCGAAGCTTGAGAATTAGCCAAGTTGAGTTTCGATTTCGGACGTGTCACAAAATCCCCGATATACCGGCAGTTTAGACTGTCTGCGATGTAGACTAGGAAAAACTAGGCCCGAACAGGAATGGTCGAATGGAACGGAATTTTCCGGTTACTCCGATTTTCCGGAATTTTAGGCCAACCTCGCGAGGTACACCCAAAATTTCGGAATGAAATTGCGGAAAATGTCTGTTCCATTCGCTTCCCGACCCGGAATTTCCTGAATATTTGACGGTCGAATGCGGAAAAAGCCTCATGATGAACTCCGAAGCGGCCAAAAGTATATCCGGTGATTTTCGGAAATGTAAACAATTTGCGGTTTCTACGACACTTCAGTTACACTTACCCTTAAATTTCCAAGTATTCTTGAGGAAGCTTTCCTCGACCTCTACCGTAATTGGAAACTACATTTTACCGACCCTTTAAGCGTGTGTTGATCACGTGTAGGGTATATACAACAAAATATAAAGACATTGCTACCGACCTTGCTTCGTAAAGAGTTCAACTGGTCTTCAAGCGAACAAGATTGTGCTTGAGGTAAGCTGTAACTTTGGTCTTCAATGCGTGATACTCTCAAGGAATCATATACAAGAATTCAGCAAACCTATTTAATAGGGACAGCTAAAGCGAGGCCATTGAAGAGAGCTTTCTTTCGTTCGCGCGAAAATGTTCCAGTTGATAGATTTTTTTAAAATTTTTTACTGCAGTCAGATGATGATTTACTTTTGTCAGAAATAAATGCAAAAAATTGGGGGTCACCGACTTCGTGTCAGAGGTAAAGCGTGTGGAAAACTGCCCTGATTTTGAAAAATTTGCGCACGTAATTCAGCATGGTCTACAGGTGTTTATATATTTATATTTACAGGGGTTTATAGTTAAAAGGTGAGTCAACGGAGGTAAACGATCTTAGTCATATTTTGTAGAAGTGGGTCTGTTGCGTAAATAATTCCAAATGTTGCCAACGTTTTCACAAAACTTAACCCTTCAAGAGGCAGTTGAAACCGCCGCACAAATAAACGAAGAGCTAAACTGAAATAACGGAATTCGAGGGTGCATTTTGCAAAACATTTAAACTTCTAATCGATAGATTTTCTTTATTTTTTCGCTAAACGTAGAAAATCGGTAGAGAAAACGATCCGTCAAAAGAAAAATATGGGTCACCCAACGTCCAAGATCGCTAAATCCAGGCAAAGCTATAGCAATGGCCATCTGCGCTATCATTGTTTATTGTATTACTTAGCACGTACGCGCATCGATGCATGACGTGGCGTGTGAATTTGCGTGCGCAGTAAGGACGCGCAGAAACGATTCGCGCGAACGTCCTTAAACGACGCTAGCTGTCTTAGAGCTCAAAAGTCGCGTAAAAATTAAGACTTTTGAGACATGCAGCTGTTTCGTTAAACATTGTCGGAATAAACGGTAAAAGTGTACGCAAAAAGCCCGAAAGTTAGTATGAGTAGAAGTAGATGGCTGATGTAGGCGCTGAATACTTAATCAGATACACCCTTTATTTTTGCACGATTTATTTAAAAACATATAATTGCGGTGTATTTACAAATTTTCAACACAAAAAATTACATTCTTTTCAAACTTTCAGCCTCGGGTTTATACAATTCTTAGCAATATTCTTAAAATTTCGCAAATTTCAGCCTCGATATTCTTATAAAACATATTCTTACAAAATATAAAAAGAGTGTATAACAACATGTCAAACTGCAGCACAGTTCGTACGTGTTCTTTTTCTTTCAACTTGTGAGAACAAAGTTCTTTTAGCCATAGAAGAAGTTTCAAGTAAAAGTCATATATACAATGTGTTTTGTTATAAACAACAAACGTAGTGGTCTAACCAACGGCTTAAACACTGGTATCTCTCAATCCGTGTGTTAATACACATATGTGTTCGAAATCTATAGCCACAAGGAGCTAGATATTTCTCAGTAAAAGAAATAATGTTTCGTTTCCGAAATGATTAGTGTGCAGGCAGATTTTGGGAGACCTGGCTTTTAGAAAATGCTGTAAGAGAAGAATTATTCATTATTACCTTAATTAACCCTTGTTTTGCAATTTAATAACTTGATTAAATCCTAAGCCTGGGATAATGCATTTCCAGCTTTCTGATCGGTACACATATGTTCCAATTTTCCTTCTCTGGTGTGTTGAATTCGGTCGAAAAATGCTATCTCGCTTCGCTCAGCTCTAAAGGGATGTATAAGTCGACTTGCGGCAAGTCTAGCAAAGGGTGGTAAAAGAGAAAGCGGGTTGGTGGGTGGGGTGAAGATCACGTTTCACGGAAAATAAAAATAAAAAGAGGTCTTTTCACAATTCTCGGAAACTAAATTACACATTTCACGTATCTCGAAGAAAAGAGAAATTTTTCACTCGAACCTGCAGTGTAAAATAAATCAGATTTTGAAAGTTTAAGACAATAGTACAGTCTTGCTTTGGATCTTCGCTACTTCTCCGCTTCTTTTTTTTTCCACAAGAGTCAAAATGAAAACCGTGACTTTCTACTGATGACTTATGCAGAAGGATCCAACCGATTGCCTCATGATTATGCAATGTTTATTTGACGGTTGTAGAAAATAATAGCGAACGGGTTCACGACGAATTGAACGTTTATTTTTTCATTTTATATACAGAAAATCATTTTGAAAAATCGCGGCTCACGGGTACTAAGAAACCACAATTCACGAAAAAAAAATAAAAAAAATAAAAAAAATAAAAAACTAGCCATTTCACATTTCACCGAATAAAAATAAGGCAGCGCTATTCACGAATCATAAAGTACCCTAAACCGCCCTCATACCTAAGCTTTCGGACTAGATAGGAAAAGTGCAGCGACAGTACACTAGAATATGAAGTGCACTGAATAACAGTTAAACTGCGGGAAGTGTATTGAAATACCTATTTCCCTCTTCCATTTCCTTTTTGATTCAGCCAAGGAACAAATCACGTCAAAATGTCTACAAGTGATGTCAAGAAGGAAGGATTTTGGACTCGCACTTTGAATTACGGCAGGACAGTGCTACCGAACACAATGAAAAGTGGAGTTCTGGGCATAATATCCAACAACAAAGTCACTTTAGCACACCTCGTCGTTGCTATGACAATGGTGGGGCTGGAGCTATTCCTTAACGCCGAGGTCTTCAACTGTCCGCTGAAGAATCACGTTTGCTATGGCTTGATGTTTCTTACGGGTCCACCCTGTATCATTTTCGTCGTCAATCTGCTCATCGTTGGTCGCATTTGGACACTGTCCAACAGATGTTGTGTAAAAGAGTACAGGAGGAAAGGCGAATGCTTCTTTTACGTTTTCCCTAATGTGGTGAAAGCGCTGGTTGGCGGGCTGGTGTGGCTGATGGTAGCATTCATTGACACGAGGTACTTTGTGTGTGCCGTGGTCGGACAGGATATCAACAAAAGGAATCTCACTGATAGCGAAGAGATCAAATCACTGCAACATCAAATTGACCATGCCAAAGGCTTATCACATGTGTTCGCTTGGGTTGTTTTCTTGGTCATGGTGGTATTTGGCGCTACAGTGGTAATTGTAAAAAGATGTTACAGGAAAGCCCATGTACTTGCAGCAGGTAATCACTGTACCAGCTCAGTGATTCAAGTGAAATATTTCATGGTATACCACGAGGAAGCATTTTATAACTATTTTATACCATGCCATAGAAAATACAGCGTCAACACAATCAATGTGACATACGCGCGAAGCATGATAGGAAGGTTGGATGTAATATCGTCGAATATACAACGGTTTCCCCGTGTTCGGATTGGCTGTATTTTTCTATGACATGGTATAAAAGTGAATATATGAAAGATATGAACTGCGGAGAAAGATATGAAGACATGATTTGGTAATTTCACAGCTGCTTGAAGTTGTGTGTATAAATGCGATGATCAGTCATGTCTTCATATCTTTCCCCGAACTTCAAATGTATGATCTTTCATGTCAGTTTATACCAGTAGTCACGAAAGGGCACTTTGACAACAACGTGTCTCCCCCAACAGCTCAACAAAGGGACCTTGGAATCCCCACCATTTCTGAGTTGCTCTGTGCCTCTGTGTCAAAACGAGTCTTCACGCCGAACTATTGAAATGTGTTCCGCCTACATGTTCATTTTTATGCAAATCAAACTCATTTTCATTTTTTTGAAATAAGACTCGTTTTGAAACAGAGGCACAAGGAAATGTCTCTACAAGTATCACGTATAGCTCACTTTACCCACAAGCCGGTGTATGGTCGTCAATTCATTTTCATTTTCTTTTTCTTTTTCACACTATTCATCTCCTGAGATAATTAAACTTTTGGATTTCTCTCATATATTGTAGATGGTTTTATCCTTGCGCAACGCGAAGCCATCGTTGCGTTAATGACCTTCAACGAGATCACAAATGGTTTGCGAGATGAATTAAAGAAAAGTGGTGTTGAAAGTGGAGATAAAACAGATACCAATGAAAACAAAACGCCTGATGCAGTTGTCCTTGAAAATGATGTATCCAAAGCCGAAAAGGATGATGACCCAAAGACGATGAAAGCCAATGAAAATGGAATCCAGTGGCTGCCAGGAAACCCGAAAATCCGGATTTATCCCGAGGGTATTCCCGAGACGCGTGGTCGACAGCATGTGAAAGAAATGTTCGAGTGCCATGAAAACGAAAATGACTGGGATTATCAAGATGCACTCAAGAAATTTAGGGAAATGTATCCCAGAGCTGCAACAGGAGACCCCAGGGATCCCTGGAGAAAGAAAGATGTCAAACCATGCTCGAGCACAAAATGTGACATAAAAGCAACAAGTAACAAGTAATAACAAATTAGTCAGTGAATATTTGAGCCCCGTTCGACAAACTAGATCCCAGACTCTCTCTCTCTCCTTTGCCCTCCTTTTCGTCGACAAGAAAGGCAAAGGAGGCAGAGCTCGGAGTTGGCTGTTCGGAAATTTTAAATGATGATCTTTACTTGATATATATAACGTCATAGTTCCATGTTATGGATATAAAAGGAAATATGTTTTGGACATAAAGCAAAACCAAAAAAGAGGGCTCCCTAGGAGTTACGAACTGCTGCACTGAAGCATTGTCAATAATCTTTTTCTTTGTTTTTGTTCGTTTTGTTTTTGGCCTTGACAGTGCAAAAAAACTCACAAAGGCTGTTTACCTCTGACTGAAAAACTAACCAATAGAAAGGTTTTCGATTACGTAATTCATGCTTAGTGCACGGGCGTGAAACAAAAGATTCATCAACACGGTTGTGGACCTCAGTTCCAACATAAATTTGTTAAACAATTAAAAATGCAAACCAAAATGTATTAAGAGGAAACTTGTTTCTGGTACAGGATAATATAACCGTGGGATATCCGGCAGCTAGGGTTTTAAAAAAAGGTTACTTGATTTTCTATCTTGGTAGAGATCAAATTATACTTTCTCTTTATATTATGTTATTATGCTATGTTATGTTAGTAGTACCTTTATAGAAGGAAAACTTGATTTTATTCGTATTTCATTGAGCACCATCATTTCCGGGATTTTCCAGCTGCATTTACCTTTACATTGGTTGATTTTCTTACGGGCATTACATAAAATCGAGGTCTAATTTTCAAAAGCGCCCTTCCTGGAAATAGTGATCATTTGGATTCCATAACTTATCAGAATTTTGTTACCTAATTCAGTTTCTGGCTAAATCTTGTTCATTTTGTCGACGTTTTTGGACATTGAAGTACTGGTTGTTTGATTAAAATTCATATCTCGTTCACACTTCGCACAAAAGTGGAAAGAAATGCGTAAAATTAATGAACTGACAGTTTGACACGCAGTGACTGATGAATCATGTGGTTGTCCCCATAAAAGAAACGCGAGGAGTGAACTCCTCGCAGTTGTTAGAATCAGTCAAAATTAATAGTAGAAAAACTTTGTGACTATTGTAACTGAAAAGATGAGTGGCAATAAAAAGTGAGTAACAAATTGATGAGAGTGTGGAGTTGCCAGCTAACTCCCCCGAAGGTTGCCTCAACATTTCTAGCCATGTTTGTTTTCTCCTTTTAGGGGCTTAGCTCTCTTTGAGCCAGTAAGCTCGGACTTACAATCTTTTCTCGGTATATTTATTTTTT